AGTGGCATTCAGGAGGTCTTGGGTTCAATCCCCATTGGCCTCATGTACCTTCCTGGGCATGCTTGGCGGCCCCCACCTAGAGATAGCCCGTTGGTCCCCCCAATTGCTCTGCTGATGTTCATAGGGGGAGGGGTAATCCCGGAGGCACAGCGACGGGCCACTCAGATGATGCTCGGTCCCTCTGCTACCGGCTGTCCCCTGGCCGGTGTACCCCATTGGGGGTTGGCCACCCTGGGCTGAAAAGGCCACCCGATGTCAGATTAGACACAATATTGGGCTGGTTAGTCCGATGGCCATCGCCCTTTAAACATAAAAAACATTAAAAAAAACATGGCCACAGTGCCGCCGTGAGATGCTCAGATCGGAGGGCAAGAGCCCGTGCGTGCTCTAAAGCAAGCCTAACCCCCTTCAATTCAGTGGGGCTCCCCCACTGTCACCGTATTTTATGCCTTATTCTGGCCAACACTTCATTTATGATTCAGGGCCTCGCCACACCACTGTCGAAACGGAAAAAGTGTGAGTGCTTCCTCAGAAGGTCGACGTATGAATCCGTGACTATTCATACTCATAATAACGGAATGCATCTTGCCTCCCTCGTCGGCTCCATGCACTGGTACCTTTTCCCGTTTCGACAGTGTTGTGGCCAGCGTGTCTGCTACGTATCAAACACGTACTGCATCTTGTGGCTCGTGCGGCAGCCGGCATTGCAATAAAAAGACGCTGGCACCCAGCCCATTCGCATAATAACTGCGATTACGAACGAGTCTGGACTCTGGATGCATCTGACAGCAAATATATATTCCCAGATCACACAATCACATAAAACGACGTATTCCTTTTTTGTATTTGTTTTTTTTTTCCCCTCAATTTGTCCCAGTGCCATCTCGGCACCTTATGGACGCGCGGACCGTTCCTACTGGTCCAACACAACATCGAGGAAAACACAGAGAGAGGCATCTGCGACAAAACAAGAGCAGATTTTCCCGCGGGTAGACGGGGAAGACCCTGGCCTCCGTTTCTTTTTTTTTTTTTTTTTGGGCGGGTGGGGGGGGGGGGGGGGGGGGTCCCTCAAATAGACCCTTCCCAAATCCGCATACTATATATTTTGCGGATTTTGGGTCGCAGTGTGAATAGGCCCTTATTCCGGGTCGCAGTGTGGGCATACTCAGGGCATACTCACACTGCGACCCGAAATCTGCAAAATATGCGGATTTGGGAAGGGGCCATTTGAGGTTTTTTTTTTTTTTTTTTTTTTTTTGGAAAATTGAGCAATTGCATTATAAAAGGAAATAGGCCGGGGACCTCACAATCCAACCCGGAAGTTGGGTCCATAACCAGAGAAATAAAAACTGGAAACCGGGTCCAGTGTCCCATCTTCCCCTACTGAGCAACACAACTCTCCAAATCTGGACTTGGAACTTCATAAAAAAGGCTGACTGTGGGGTGCCCAGTTGGCCCCAATGGGGTCTCTTTGCTATCTAGCTGTTCCTATCCTAAGAAAGCCATTTCGAAATTTCCAGCTTCCCGTCTCTTGAGATGGCAGCCAGCTTGTTGCCGAGGGCCCACGTCTGAAGAAACCATGGGAGGGCTGGTCCTTGACACCCCCGACATTGTTTTCAATCTGCTCGCAGCATAAGGCGGATCTGCGAACGTATCTGTTGTTGTTGGTGCGGAGCTTGTATCCTATCTTGTCTGACGATCACAGCATTTCGGGCCCGCGAGGTTTCCTGCATAATTACGCCTTTGCAGACGAAAGCCACGTAGCCGCAACCCTTAGAGAGGAGGAGACTAGGCTTCGGCAGGGTTCCATACAGTACCCAGTCATTGCTCCAAGGGAAGCCCTCCCCTGCTAGATTCTTCCAATGCTCTTGCCACCAGAGCCATATCTCGTCCGCTAAAGGGCACTGAAGCCACAGATGGGAGTTTGACTCCCACCCCCACTGACACCATTTGCAGGTGATAGGTATGCTCAATCCCCTATAATTAAACCATAAAGCCTCGGGGATTATTTGGAGTGTCTGCATCCATAGCAGGCGTGCTATCTTTTGAGATGGAATGCGCTGAAGTGCCCTCCACTGAGTGAGCCACTGTGGCTGAGGAATGGAGAGATCTCGTAGACGTCGAAATCTTCTGGACGCCAGGGACAGTGGGGTGACTGTCGTTTTCGTCTGTTGATATTTCACTTCCACCTTTGTCTTATACATTACGAGGGAGGTAGCATCAGATTGAAGTTTATCGTGATTGGTCGACTCCAATGGCCAGCCTCTCATCAAAGGTTCAAATCTGAAACTGTCCACGTCACCCAATAGCACAGTGGACATTTTGTTCAGCTGAACCCGCACGTCAATCGTGTTTGTAGTTGTGGTTACCGATTTTTCACTCAGAAGAAGTAACTGATTCTCCTTCCTTGGCCCGACTGATGTCTGCCAAACCTCTACTCTGGTCTTTCCATCCAGTTATGGACCCACCATCTTCCATATACCAGCATTGTCTTCCACCGACCGGACCCATGACCCTGCAGCATTCTCAGTGGAGGATTTAAGCATGGAGGACCAGTGTACAGGGAAGGCAGATAACAGTTTTTCCAAATTTTCTGAGACATTCGTTAGTCTTGGTTTGCAGATCCATGCTCGTCCAAAGTTACCCTTTCCGTCTCCTGTGGAAAAATTGTCCCCATCTAAGTGACGAGTTATGGGATTATCAAACAAGTGCTGATTTGCAATTTCCCGTTTCGTCACCGGGGTCTTTAATCGCTTGTGGCAGTAATTTATTCCATGCTCGAAGGATGCCCCGCCACACCCTGGACATGCTCGAAGGATGCCCCGCCACACCCTGGACTTTGGCCTTCTGCTCAGAAAAGAGGGCAAAAAACAGCAGTGCCAGAATGTGGTACCCTCATTCAGGGTCCACTCGTTCCCCATGATATATTCTGCAAACTTAATCCATATCTTTGTCGGGTCTTCGAAGCAAGCCTTAACAAGCCACTTGGCCAGAAGCGCCCGATTCTGGGCCATCGGGTCCAGAATGCCTAGGCCCCCCTGAAATCAGGGCATGGTAACAGCCTCCCATGCTGCCTTCGAAATG